CAAAGTATTTCAACGGGGAGTGTCCACATGTTTTTGTATTTTTTTCACGAAACAAACAACCTTCCCCCGGAGCTTAACTTTCACTCACATAGTGAATGTTGCACAAAACAGGATCTTTCCCTTAACTTAACTTAATAAGTAGCTTTGTTGCCTAAAGCTTAAAGAGTCCTCTCCTGCTGATGTTCAGGTGTATATCAGTATGTAGTGTCTCTACTTTAAAGAGTCCTCTCCTGCTGATGTTCAGGTGTATATCAGTATGTAGTGTCTCTACTTTAAAGAGTCCTCTCCTGCTGATGTTCAGGTGTATATCAGTATGTAGTGTCTCTACTTTAAAGAGTCCTCTCCTGCTGATGTTCAGGTGTATATCAGTATGTAGTGTCTCTACTTTAAAGAGTCCTCTCCTGCTGATGTTCAGGTGTATATCAGTATGTAGTGTCTCTACTTTAAAGAGTCCTCTCCTGCTGATGTTCAGGTGTATATCAGTATGTAGTGTCTCTACTTTAAAGAGTCCTCTCCTGATGATGTTCAGGTGTATATCAGTATGTAGTGTCTCTACTTTAAAGAGTCCTCTCCTGCTGATGTTCAGGTGTATATCAGTATGTAGTGTCTCTACTTTAAAGAGTCCTCTCCTGCTGATGTTCAGGTGTATATCAGTATGTAGTGTCTCTACTTTAAAGAGTCCTCTCCTGCTTCTGTTCAGGTGTATATCAGTATGTAGTGTTTCTACTTTAAAGAGTCCTCTCCTGCTGATGTTCAGGTGTATATCAGTATGTAGGGTCTCTACTTTAAAGAGTCCTCTCCTGCTGATGTTCAGGTGTATATCAGTATGTAGTGTCTCTACTTTAAAGAGTCCTCTCCTGATGATGTTCAGGTGTATATCAGTATGTAGTGTCTCTACTTTAAAGAGTCCTCTCCTGCTGATGTCCAGGTGTATATCAGTATGTAGTGTCTCTACTTTAAAGAGCCCTCTCCTGCTGATGTTCAGGTGTATATCAGTATGTAGTGTCTCTACTTTAAAGAGTCCTCTCCTGCTGCTGTTCAGGTGTATATCAGTATGTAGTGTATCTACTTTAAAGAGTCCTCTCCTGCTGATGTTCAGGTGTATATCAGTATGTAGTGTCTCTACTCTAAAGAGTCCTCTCCTGCTGATGTTCAGGTGTATATCAGTATGTAGTGTCTCTACTTTAAAGAGTCCTGATGTTCAGGTGTGTATCAGTATGTAGTGTCTCTACTTTAAAGAGTCCTGATGTTCAGGTGTATATCAGTATGTAGTCTCTCTACTTTAAAGAGTCCTCTCCCCTGCTGATGTTCAGGTGTATATCAGTATGTAGTGTCTCTACTTTAAAGAGTCCTCTCTTGCTGATGTTCAGGTGTATATCAGTATGTAGTGTCTCTACTTTAAAGAGTCATCTCCTGCTGATGTTCAGGTGTATATCAGTATGTAGTGTCTCTACTTTAAAGAGTCCTCTCCTGCTGATGTTCCGGTGTATATCAGTATGTAGTGTCTCTCCTTTAAAGAGTCCTCTCCTGCTGATGTTCAGGTGTATATCAGTATTTAGTGTCTCTACTTTAAAGAGTCCTCTCCTGCTGATGTTCAGGTGTATATCAGAATGTAGTGTCTCTACTTTAAAGAGTCCTCTCCTGCTGATGGTCAGGTGTATATCAGTATTTAGTGTCTCTACTTTAAAGAGTCCTCTCCTGCTGATGTTCAGGTGTATATTAGTATGTAGTGTCTCTACTTTAAAGAGTTCTCTCTGCTGGTGTTCAGGTGTATATCAGTATTTAGTGTCTCTACTTTAAAGAGTCCTCTCCTGCTGATGTTCAGGTGTATATCAGTATGTAGTGTCTCTACTTTAAAGAGTCCTCTCCTGCTGATGTTCAGGTGTATATCAGTATGTAGTGTCTCTACTTTAAAGAGTCCTCTCCTGCTGATGTTCAGGTGTATATCAGTATGTAGTGTCTCTACTTTAAAGAGTCCTGATGTTCAGGTGTATATCAGTATGTAGTGTCTCTACTTTAAAGAGTCCTCTCCTGCTGATGTTCAGGTGTATATCAGTGTGTAGTGTCTCTACTTTAAAGAGTCCTCTCCTGCTGATGTTCAGGTGTATATCAGTATGTAGTGTCTCTACTTTAAAGAGTCCTCTCCTGATGATGTTCAGGTGTATATCAGTATGTAGTGTCTCTACTTTAAAGAGTCCTCTCCTGCTGATGTCCAGGTGTATATCAGTATGTAGTGTCTCTACTTTAAAGAGTCCTCTCCTGCTGATGTTCAGGTGTATATCAGTATGTAGTGTCTCTACTTTAAAGAGTCCTCTCCTGCTGATGTTCAGGTGAATATCAGTGTGTAGTGTCTCTACTTTAAAGAGTCCTCTCTTGCTGATGTTCAGGTGTATATCAGTATATAGTGTCTCTACTTTAAAGAGTCCTCTCCTGCTGATGTCCTTTCACCCTCTGTCTGAAACCAGAGCGCAGTCTGCTCTGATTGGTTAGCTGGCCGGCTCTGTTGTGAAAGGGAACTTTGGGATTTTAGCCTTTGCAGACCATGTACACAATAACACACTAAGAAACAACCCCAAAAAGCATAATAGGGCCTCTTTAAGGAAATGTTGAGTCCACATTTCAAATCTTAAATTGTATATGCGTTCAAAATGTTACTCAACGTTCTAAATGTTCTTAATATTCTTATCGTTTTAATTTTAATTGTTCTCAACAATGTAGACGTTCTACTGTCTAAATGTATAAGACTTTTTAGATGTATTAAATAGTTCTTTGAATTCTCAACATTTCAGATTTTCTACACTCGAAAGGTTTTAAATCTTCTAAATGTTATACACGTCTATACATTCTACATTTTAAGCGTTCTTAATGTTCTAAAGGTTATCCATTTTCTAAAATAATTCTAAATGTTGTACACATTCTACATTTCTACACCGTTCTACGTGTTCATCTGGAGAACAGAGGTCCACTGAACCCTCACACTGGGCGAGCGAGGCTCATTTCTCTCTCTCAGCGGGTTGTGTGTAATCTCAGTCTGCTCACAGCTGGAGCCTCCAGATCACTTTAACACGAGAGCAACCACAAGCCACACTGTACACACACACACACACACACACACACACACACACACACACACACACACACACACACACACACACACACACACACACACACACACACACACACACACACACACACACACACACACACACACACACACACACACACCTCTCTGTCTGTGTGTGGGTGGGTGTGTTGAGAAAGATCCCTAAGCCTCCTCTGTTTTGATTACTGGCTAATTTACATGACGCACCCTGCTGTGAGCTCTCACACACACACACACACACACACACACACACACACACATACACACACACACACACACACACACACACACACACACACACACACACACACACACACACACACACACACAAGCCCGCAGTACAGATGAACACGTTTCATACACACACACATTGTTGTACAGAAAGGAAGCCACACACACATGCACACTCTCCCGCTGTGCTTTGTGTCAGTGTGACTTATAGGATTTCAGCATTTTATTATCTGAGAAACAAAAGACTGTAGCTAATAGTGTGTGTGTGTGTGTTTCAGTGTGTGTGTGTGTGTTTGTGTTAATCATGCATCGTGTTTTCATTTTTTCTCTCCCTCGTTCATCGATATTCTCGTCCTCACTCAGCAGATAAACACTGAGCGTCACGTTCTGCGCTGACATTTCTCTCAAACACGGCCTGAAAAGAGAAATATCTGGGCCGCTGCTGCTCACATTTTCTAACAAATCAGTTTACTAAAAATAACGTTAATTACAACTCAATTGAAAAAGAAAATTAGCTTTGTAAGAAAAGACAAGATAAATGCACTTTATTGATCCCAATTTGGGAAATGTTTGCGTTGCATCAGCAGAAAACACAAGGCATTGAGAAGCTCTGGAGCAGAGAAGGCATTTTTATGAACAAAGAGAGACAGTTAATAATTAAAACATGTGGTCTCATTGAGATCAGGAAGCTTATTTCAAAACAGAGCTGCGAACAAAAAAAATGAATAAACATATTTAGATAATGCATAGACAGAAGCAGAGATAATTCACGAACGATAACATATACTTTTTCACAATTAAGAAAATGGTTTACAAGTGGGATAGAAAAATACAATAAGAAAAACCTTTAAAATGTTCGAGAGACGATGAAGAAAGTATAATGTAATCTTAAGAAGTCATGCCCTTGACATCACGTTTGGGGAAACAAATACCAATGTATATTTATAGGAAAATTATATTTTAGCCTTAAGATTGAGAAGAAAATGTTCAGTAATAAAACCACAGATAAACAAAAACAGATTGTCATGGAGGGGGGGGGCTAGTGGAGCCTCGCTGCAGCAAAACTCTGGCGCGCTTACACTGTAGGTGAGGTGAGGCCTCCTCCGCGAGGTGAGGCCCCCTCCGCGAGGTGAGGCCCCCTCCGCGAGGTGAGGCCCCCTCCGCGAGGTGAGGCCCCTCCGCGAGGTGAGGCCCCCTCAGCGAGGTGAGGCCCCCTCCGCGAGGTGAGGCCCCCTCCGCGAGGTGAGGCCCCCTCCGCGAGGTGAGGCCCCACGCAGTCTGCGTGATCGGCCTGTAGGGAGGGGCGGCCCTGATAAGTTACATTACATTTATCTGACACTTTTGTCTAAAGCAACTTACAAATAAGAACAATTCACCATGAGGATTCAAACGCAGAACAGCAAGAAGAGTGCTATTATGATAGTGTGATATTTACTTCTAATAAGCAAGACCATTGTAGGTGCAGCTGCATAAATTAAACTCTCAAGTGCTTTTTTTATTGTCCAAGGTACAAGCGATACAGGTAAAACTGGTAGATTGTCTTTAATAATAATAATGATACATTTTTATAATTTTCCTGGTGGTCAAAGCCTGAAAAAGTGACCAATGCCGTCGTCTTTTTGTCCTCTTTCTGACTTTTTATAACTCTGTCTGTTCTGTTTTGCAGACGTTGAGCCTCCAGGGGGGAAGCAGCTGATTGGTTGATCGTGTCTGGAGGTCAGGGGTCGAAGGCCATGGCGGGCCGACTCCTCCTCTTCCTGTTCGTCACGGTGACGCTCGGCCACGCCAACTTCCCGGCTGGCCAGCGTCAGAAGCCCCGCCTCCAGAGAGACCGCCGCAACATCCGGCCCAACATCATCCTGATCCTGACCGACGACCAGGACCAGGAGCTGGGTGAGTAACACACATACTATGACTGTTATAATATGTTAATACTTCACTAATACACACTATTATAATGCTTCTACACTACCACTAATGCCTTTACTGTTAATAACACTGACGCTAGTAGTGTTGAAACTCCTTAACCATCTTAAAACAACACCACAGAACAGATTAGCTTTACACCATAACTGACCTTTTGTCACCGTGTGATGACCATAATGATGTAAAGAGACAAAAGGTATTCTTTTAGGTAACAATTTGGAACCTGGAGGTGGAGCAAAAGCAATAACTTTTCAGTAGCTGGATCATATGACATTACTGTATCATAAGAAAAAAGTAATCAGACTTTTAAATCACAATTATTGAGCTACTAGGAAAAACTAATAAGATTTATACTTTATTAATCAGAAATCATTTAGGAATATCTGATCATTTTGGAAATTTGTGTCTTTTTTAAATGTTTCCAGAACTACTATTGTGTTATCACTTGTTTTTGTGAAATAAATAATTCCCCTTATACATACAGTATTACCAATCAATGTTGTATAGTGTATAATGTACTAACAGGATATTTATTTCTCTCTCGGCAGGTTCGATGCAGGCGATGAATAAAACTCGCCGCATCATGGAGGAGGGCGGGACTTCCTTCTCCAACGCCTTCGTGACCACGCCCATGTGCTGTCCGTCACGCTCCAGTATGCTCACTGGGAAGTAAGTCAAGTTCATCATGTTTAATATATAGAATTCGATTGGTTTAATTGAACCACACTAAATATATATATATATATATATATATATAAATAAAACCCACTCTTTCTGACCCTCAGGTACGTTCACAACCACAACACCTACACCAACAACGAGAACTGTTCTTCAATGTCATGGCAACGGCAGCATGAGCCGCGGTCCTTCGGGGTGTACCTGAACAACACTGGATACAGGACAGGTACACACAGACACACACACACACACACACACACACACACACACACACACACACACACACACACACAAACACACACACACACAAACATACATGATTTGCTGAACTTATGAGGACTACAAACCCATAGCATGATGTGTGTATCCCACTTTCAAAAACAAACACACACATTTCTGTAACTGTAACTTTCTGACTTGTCTGTATTCTAACTATTTACCTTTCTTTGCGTGTGTGTGTGTGTGTGTGTGTGTGTGTGTGTGTGTGTCCGTGATCCAGCCTTCTTTGGGAAGTACCTGAACGAGTACAACGGCACGTACGTCCCCCCCGGGTGGAGGGAGTGGCTCGGCCTGGTGAAGAACAGCCGCTTCTACAACTACACACTGAGCCGCAACGGAGTCCGAGAGAAGCACGGAGCCCAGTACCCACAGGCAGGGACACACACACACACACACACACACACACACACACACACACACACACACACACACACACACACACACACACACACACACACACACACACACACACACACACACAAGTAGGGGAAATGTGTTGTTATGTGTCCTGCAGTCAATTAGTTGAGATAAGTCCTCAAAACTTCCCTTTACAAAACCAATAAATATTCAAGAATAATTCATAACATTTTGAAATGTTCAGGATTTATTTCTTCCATTTTTACCTAAAAAAACCTCACTTAAGCTACAACAACAAAGAAATACAAACCATAACATTTCCCAACTTCTTATCTTGCATACAGTATGATAGTTGTTGATATCAATTAATACACTTTTAACACATTGTGAAATAATTTTTCAACATTTATATTTTAAATCAATGTCTCTCTCTTTCAAGTTTACTGCAATATTCTTAGAAATAATTATGTATTCTGGGACAAATCAAAGCAAAACAATTCAATTTCAAAGTGAAACAGAATTAAATGAAAACATAATGACCCAGGGTTTTAACAATAACAACAATAATAATTATAAAAATGCTTCTGTGTTTGTGTTCCAGGACTACCTGACGGACCTGATCACGGCCGAGTCCATCCGGTACTTCCGCTCCTCGAAGAGAGTGTATCCTCACCGGCCCGTCATGATGGTGCTGAGCCACGCCGCGCCGCACGGACCTGAAGACTCAGCGCCGCAGTACAGCACCGCCTTCCCCAACGCATCACAGCACATGTAGGCCCACACACACACACACACACACGCACACACACACACACACACACACACACACACACACACGCATGCACGCACGCACACACACACACACACACACACACACACACACACACACACACACACACACACACACACACACACACACACACACACACACACACACACAATGAGACTAAGCCACTGTAATCCAGCTGAAGAATGGGGCAGCTCCGCTCCGCTCTGAGGGATAAATTCTGATATAACACGACTGAAACAAAGCAATCCTCCCTCATATCTGTGTGTGAGTGTTGTAGTGTGTGTGTGTGTGTGTGTGTGTGTGTGTGTGAGTGTGTGTGTGTGTGTTACAAATGCATGGGTTTTATTTCTTAGTTAATTATTGTTTCCGATTTCAACAGAATTTCTATTAAAACCCGTCCGTCTACTACACTTACAGTATGAGCTGAAAGAGAGACATACACACACATAAGAACACACACTCACACACACGCATCACAGCAGTGCCAGACAATCGTTTACCTCCCTTGTAAAGCCAAACAGATGCCGGAGGAATCGCCGGCCGGACTCCAGCCAGAAGAACATTTCAATCCCATTTAAAGCTCAGCTGGCTTTCTGGTAATACAAGAACTCTGCAGGAACAGACAGAAATCCCTGTCCTCTGGAGGGAAACAATAAAACCCTAATACACTGTCCTGGAAAACACATGACTCTTGCACAGAAACACAACTTTCATACTGATTTAAATTTAAAATTAGAACCCAGGATACCCCAAGAAGTTCTGGATTCAGACTTTAGACAGGCTAGATAGGGAACATAGTCTCTTCATTACATATTTGCAAGAGACAATGAAGCAGCAGTGCAAGCTGTGTGTTTAAATATGACATGTACTGTTGCTATAACAAGTCATTATATGTTAAATCCCAGCCTTCTTACACTGCAGACGCGTTTCTGCTTGCTCTTGCCTCTGCTTACTTTTTTATGCTGTTTTTCTATTTTTCTTTTTCTGAAAACTTCGAGCAGCGGCTCCTGGACATTAACTTATCACTGGGACAGTTATTCTTCGTAAATAGACGGAGGGTTTCAGCCATATTTCAACATTTTTACGACGACCTCAGTCTTACAGTGGCGTGGCCTAGCAACAGCTAAAGCCTGGTACAGCATGCTATTTAGCTTAAGCTAATTAGCAGAAAAATGCCTCCGTTCTCTACAGAAGATGGCCGTGTTGGAAATGAAAATGCAACGGTTGGAAGTTAACGTGGAAGTGAATGGACTAGGTTGGAATTACACCACTTTACCAGTGTTGCAAAAATAATGGACAAAGGCATGCTAACTCACAGCTAGTTAGCAGCTACAAGGATTCCAATGAACAGGGGGGCTGTGTACCGGGTAATACATCTACAGGTTATAAATCTACAAGTGGTAGTCCTCCCTGGAACTCTCTGGGTGCAAGGCCGAAGAGTAAATCATTTCCATGGGATTTGGGAGGACGAACAACGGGCAGAGCCCAGCGCTCTGAAATCTGTGATGCGACCGGCTGGCCTGCATTGTTATCACCCAGGAAGAGCGCCTCTTCAACCCCTATTCATACTAGGAAACAGCCGTGGACAGCTGCTAAAGGGAGAACTACAAAAAATCCTCCTAAACCACCAAGTGTGCCAATCCAGAACAGATACGCTCCGCTGACCGAGAACCGGAGATCTGATGACCTGGATAACCTGTCCTCTTCACACAGCAGGGTAAGGACCAATAGCTGCTCCAAAAGTAAAAGGCTAGAGGGAAAGCTAACGACTGGGCCTGAAACTCTGATTGTGGGTGACTCTGCTGTAAGAGATGTAAAACGTCTGTGTAGTAAGAACAACACCAAAGTACTCTGTTCTCCCAAGGATAAGGTCTCTGACTTGGCTGAGAAGATCCTGCATATTGGGGCTGAACATCAGACTGTAAAAAATGTGGTACTGCACATTGGAACAAATTATGTTGTGAAAAATACTTTAAATGTCTGTTGGAAACTGTCAGCTCTCTAAATGCAGAGGTGTTCATCAGTGGCCCTCTACCGCCAGTCAGAAGAGGAGTGGAGAGATTCAGCAGATTGTTTGCACTGAACACCTGGCTTTCAACTGCCTGTACTGACCATTCTGTCCATTTTATTGACAACTTTAACTTTTTCTGGGACCGCAGACATCTTTTTAAGGCAAATGGAGTTTGCCTGAACAAGTCAGGAGTGAAATTGTTTATCTCTAACATATTCAACTGCCTGCATCATCAATCTGTTCCCTCTGCCAAGGACAAGCAACAAGAGGAATCACAACAAGAGAAAGACACAACACATCGCTCAGAAAACCTTGAAAATCTATCACTGCACCCGCCTGAGGAATGTCTTGATTATGGAATGGAGAAGTCTCCACCGCCCTTCACCCCCCCTATCACCTCTGAGGATACTCTTCCTTCACCCCACAGCTCTCTCTACTCTCCGTTCACCCTTTTACCCTCGCCCACCCTCCTGGAGATCGCTGAACACATGAAGGAGATACAGAGGGTTGGCACCGATTCCTTCCTGGAGTTCAATAACCAAACTAGGGCGATATGCAGGGCTGGCAGCATGTCCTTTACCCCCGCTCCTCAACGATGCCCATCAAAATCACTGAAGCAGAGACGCGCACCACCTCCCCCATCTCCGTCACCGTGCCTACGTCAACCACCTCCTCCCCCTGGACGCGCACCAACACCCCCGTCACCATGCCTACCACAATCATCCGGACCAAAACGTCCTCCCCCCCTTCAAGACTGCTGTCTCCGAAGCCTGATAAGGATGTGTGTGTAAAAAACGCAAACACTGACTGATATATGCTGGGTCCAGGCTCTAGGGCTTATGGCACTCTCAACTCTTTCCAGGACCTGCCGGGGCCCTGCCTGCCTGTAGCTTTGCCGATATCTGTGTTGATAGGTAATAGATTAAGAGCGGTGAATCAGCTTAGAAACAGGAAGTGCTCAAAAGTTTGTGTGAGTTTATCAAATTTAGAAGTGATTCCATGTCAGCCACAGCTTGTTACAATCTGTCTGATAGTGTGTTTAACAAACTTAAACTAGCTTTATTAAATGTCAGGTCTTTGGTAAAACATTTTTAATCAATGATTTTATCACTGAGCACAATCTCGATTTTATGTTTTTAACGGAAACATGGATTGAACAAAATAACAGTGCAGCTGTTCTTATCGAATCAACCCCTCCCAACTTTAGTTTTATGAGTCAGGAAAGAATGCATAAGAGAGGAGGTGGAGATGCTATTCTGTTCAATGATTCCCTTCAATGCAGGAAGACATCGTATGGAAACTTTGCTTCTTTTGAATATGTGGCCCTTCAGCTGAAATGCTCCTCTCGAGCTCTGTTCCTAAATATCTATAGACCACCCAAATACTGTGCAAGTTTTTTTTATGACTTTACTGAACTGCTGTCTATAGTGTGTATTGACTTTGACCATCTAGTCATTGTTGGTGATTTTAACATCCATGTTGACAACCCCCAGGACAGAGGGGCTAAAGAACTGTTTTGTGTTCTTGATAACTATGGACTGACTCAGCATGTGACGGAGCCCACGCACAATAAGGGGCACACTCTGGACTTAATTATCTCAAAGGGTCTGAATATCTCTGAGGTTGTGGTGACTGATGTTGCACTCTCTGATCATTCCTGTGTTTTCTTTGAGAGCTCTATTTATGTTCACAAACATGTTCAAAAAGAGGTAACCACAAAGCGATATTTAACTGAAAACACTAGGGAAATGTTTACTCAGAGTTTTTCTTCCACACTTGCCCCTGCTAACATCTCAGTAAATTAGCTAGTAGATCATTTTAATTCAAAAATAAAAAATGTTATAGATGCCATTGCTCCAACTAGGGTAAAGGAAGTGACTGGGAAGAAAATATCTCCATGGAGAAAGGCCATGACCGTGAAAACAGAGAAAAAAGAGTGTTAAAAAGCTGAACGCAGGTGGCGAAAAACAAATCTCCAGGTGCACTTTGAAATCTATAAAGAGAGACTTGGCCTTTATAATTTGGAATTGAAATTTGCCCGACAGTCTTTCTTCTCTGATATCATTGCCAAAAACAAAAACAACGCACGTGCATTGTTCGCTACCGTCGACAGACTAACTAACCCCCCAGTGTCAGTAGCCTCTGAATTTCTATCCACCAGGGCGTGCAATTACTTTGCCTTCTTCACTGACAACATTCAGAAAATCAGACAAGCAGTCAGTGCCTCTGCATCAGGAACAGCAAATGTTTTGTCTCTGTGTCCACCTAACATCAATTCAAACACCATGACACAATTCCATCAGATTAATGATAAAAACCTAGAGGACATTATACAACTTCTGAAATCCTCCTCCTGCTGCCTTGATATTATTAACAGGGTTTTTCAAAAATGTTTTGCCTTGCATGGCCTCAGATCTACTTCATATAGTAAACAAATCTCTTCACTCAGGTTTTTCCACAGGCCCTGAAAACTGCAGTTATTAAACCGCTCTTAAAAAAGCATAATCTAGACGCTTCAGTAATGAACAATTACAGGCCCATATCAAACCTCCCATTTCTAGGTAAAATCATTGAAAAGTAGTTTTTCAACAGTTGAGTAATTTCTTGCATTTAAATAACTGTTTTGATGTGTTCCAGTCAGGCTTTCGTCCAAACCACAGCACTGAGACTGCTCTTGTAAAGGTCTTCAATGACATCCACTTAAACACAGACAGTGGCAGAACTTCAGTGTTAGTATTATTAGATCTCAGTGGTGCGTTTGACACTGTTAACCACAACATATTACTAGACCGACTGGAGAACTGGGTGGGACTTTCGGAAACAGTTCTGAATTGGTTTGAATCCTACTTAAAGGACAGAAACAACTTTGTTTCTATAGGTAAATACAAATCTGAGTTGACAAATATGACATGTGGGGTTCCTCAAGGCTCCATCTTGGGGCCTCTTCTCTTTAACATCTACATGCTACCACTGG